GTGTGCAGCATCCTGGAGAAGCCAGTATGATGACAGTAAGGAGGACAATAAGCAGGATGGAAAGGTTCCCCAGAGCAGAGTTCCCCAGGAGACAACATGCCACGAATCAAATACATTCAATGATTACAATTGTTTGAAGTTACTTACAAAGGCACATGTAATGTGTTAGCAATCACTCAGCCTCACAATTACTCAGAACAGGGCAAATGAGGCCATTGTACTTTAGGAGCCAATGCCACAGGTGGGCTTCCACCTAAGTCAGGTATGGTTTGAGCAATCAGGTAATTTAATGACAGACATTTCTATGCAAACACAAGAAAAACAAAGGTTATTCCTTCAAGGGAATTGTAAGTTCAGTCTCTGAGTTTGGAGAGCAGCCACTTGAGTTTCTAGGTGTTGGGTTTGGAGCATCTCCAGAGGGGGCGAGAACAGGCAGTAGTGATCTGACCCATTTTCCTGGTTTGCAGCGTGATCTTTCTGAGCAGCCACATATCAGCACCAGTCATTTTGGAGACTCTCCATACATGAGTCATTGTGATTTCTCTGAAGTTGATATCAGGTTGTCAAGCTTTCGCTTGCATAGCTTTGGGAAAAGGAGGGTTTTCGTTTCATAGAGATTCCAAGTCAAGAGAATGGGAGAATTAGAGATGTTAGTTTGGAGAATTCTATCCAAGTTTTGGAGGAAACTAGAATTGATGATCTAGCCCAGTTTATAGGTATAAAACAATATCTCAAAGACAAGAAACAGCACTAGAATCTGATATCCACAAAGACGTATTATTGAAACATATTTTTCTCCCTATAATCATCCTCCATTTCTATCAAAGATAACCATAGTAAGACTAATTCATTTGCAAATTAAGACTAGTTTTAACACACTCAGTCTGATTATTTATACAAGTGCACAAAAATAGTGATTGATCACATAGGTGCTTGTAGGTTTGTTTTGCTGGAACTTTTCACAAGAAAACTCAGATTGGACTTTCAAGAGCCTGTCCAGACCAGGAAGCCAAGCCAGTTATGTCCTGTTAGGGGGAAAAGATTCTTATTGAACTTATGCAAACATGAATATTGTTAAAAATAAGAATATTTAACAAGAATTTCCTGAATTCTAGAGAGATCATATGGGGAGAAAAAGAAACACATTTCAACCTCTGTTGCAAAGATACACTTTACCAAATTGTTGTACACCATAGATAGCTTAAGACAGAGGAGAAATGGGGTCCTTTACACCCAGAAAACAAGACGTGAAAGAACTAACAATGTTGTAAACGAGGTGATCCTAATTATAGTCATCTCCTTTGTTTTTTTTTTAAGATTTTATTTATTTACTTGAAAGGGGAAGAGAGAGTATGAGGGGGGATTGAGGTGGGCAGAGGCAGAGGGAGAAGCAGACTCCTCATCAAGGAGGCAGCCTGACTTGGGGGCTTGACCCCAGGACTCTGAGATCATGACCTGAGCTGAAGGCAGACACTTAACCATCTGAACCACCTAGGTGCCCCGTTCAGTGTTTTGTAATTAATTCTTGCTTTGCCTCATCTTGGGTTAGTGGCTTTATGAATCAATTAGTTTTCCATGAAAAGTTTTAGAAGTTCTCGCTCAGTTCAGTGCTACGGTCTTGAGGTTATCAGAAGAGCTGCATTCTAGAGTGCTTGTCAGGATCACTCCTGGGAATGTCTTTGAAAAGAAGGCATTTTTGCAAGAACAGTTTTGCAAAAGCATCAGAGTAAAACAATAAGAGTCTGTAAATGGTAACAGACTTAGAGTGGCCATGGTTAAAGATCTGTGAGAGTTCATTATAACACCATTGACAAGGAAGTTTGTTTTTTTTCTGTGACATATATTTTAATACAATAACTAGAATTATGACTAATAACATTGTAGCAGTACATGTCAGGTTTTTAAGAATCTCATAGAATATCTGGAATGAACATATTATTAACAAAAAATTATACAAATGTAAGCTAAAGGGTTATCATCACTTATTACACGATGCTTCCCATGTAATGTAATATATCAAATAAGCCTAATTAGTTCGGAATTCCTGTTATAAGGAGAAAGAACAAATCTTTTGAGATCGTCCAGGGATGCTTTTAAAAATCCCAAAGTTAGTTTGAGGTTAAAAAAAAAAACTTCATTTAGAATTTGATTTTTGAGAAGTTTGTCAAAGATATCCAAAGGATATCAAATAGGATCATAGTTCACTGTGAAAACACTACATAGTTATCCATTGGCACCAGAGTGATGATTAAAAATTTCAAAGGCAAATACAGAAAGTTACAGAGTTGTAAAAATGACCTTAATTCTTTTAATAGAGAAGACTCAGTTATTTTTCTAGGTAATCAAAGACTTAGTAAAGCACAGGAAAATTATATTCATAAAATACAGAATTTTTGTTTCATAGGCAGATTACATCAAAAGTAAAGAAAAACCTTTATTTATAACTTATGATTAGGGGTATGCCTGAGTGGCTCAGTGATTAATCATGTGCTTTGGGTTCAGGTCATGATTCCAAAGTCCTGGATCCAGTCCCACATTGCACTCCCTGCAGGGAGCCTGCTTCTCCCTCTCCCTATGTCTCTGCCTCTCTCTGTGTCTCTCATAAATAAATATAATTTCTGGTTAGGAGTGGACTGATAACCTAAAATATTTTTGTGACTTTAACAGAGCAAAAAAACAAATTCTAATTTTGTATCGGTGTACTTTTGATATTAAAAATCTGTTTTTTTAAATTTTAAGTGGCTCCATGCCCAACATGGGGCTTGAATTCATGACCCTGAGATTAAGAGTCACTCACTCTACTGACTGAGCCAGGCAGACATCCCCTAAAATTCTTTTTTTGGAAGTTAAATAATCCATTCCAATCTTAGACTATTTAACCACACATTAAATTGCTTTTTCAAGATCTTTTTCCACAAACCTCTTGCAATTTTCTGTATCCCTTTAGGTTTTTCCTATCTTTTTCCTTTGTTATTCCAGAATAATCATTTAACTTTAAGACAAAATTACTCTTTTTCCCTTACTAACCCCCCCGAAAACCAAAACCTAAAACAAAACAATAATAACAAAACCCATGTCTTTTATACCTTTTCTTGTTCAAATCCCATTAAGGGACAATGGAATGCACTCTGATTGGCACAAGCAGAAGCTGCTAAAAGACAAAAGGAGTACAAAACACAGTTCCAAAAGGGTCCTTACAGGATGGGACACACAGAGAGAATGTTTCATAAAATCCCTCTGGCCATCTGGGCAGGAATGCACAATAAAGGTGGAGAGCTTAGAACACCATAGAGCAGAGCTGAGATCCCAGAGACTCACCCTCAAACTGCTGGGTTGATGAGAAAGTGGTGAGCTGAGTGGGCTCTGTGGGTGCTGAGACCTGTTTGCAGAGCAGCCTTGGAGTCATTGTGTGTGTGTGTACGTGGTTGGGGGGGTGTTCTTTTTTTTTTATCCCACTTCTGACACCATGATATGTGAAGTTCTCATGTACCAGAAGTAAAACAACAAATCAGTAGGACTTACTTAGTTAGCTGTGCACACAGCAGAAAGACACTTGGCCAGCCAGGAGCATGCCCACCTGAGCAGAGAATGAGGCTGGGGGCTGTGCTGTCACGCAGCAGCCCCCACAGTGAGAGTGTGGTGAACACTCATTGTTCATGGTGACTGGTTACCTCAGCAGAACTTTCCTAAATGAGTGAGAACTGGTTAGTAGTTCTCTACCCACAGCCTTGGAGTGGTTTAGGTTTTGCTTATCATTTCCAGAGGCACAAGCATGGAATGACGTGGGTCACTTCAGCTTTGCAAAAGCAGCTCAATGAAACTTTGTTCGACTCAACTGTTTGACTCAAGGTTGGTCTCTGTTTGTTGTGGATTATTACGGAGGGGTCCCCTCCACAGACTGTCCTCCACCTAGCATGGGACCAGAACGCCCCCTCTGTGACCCAGGGCACTGTTCTGGGCCTGCCTTTGCAACCACGAGCTGGACCTGTTCCCCAGGTCCCTGAACCTGGGAGCCCTTCACACGGAGGCCCTGGGCCAAAGCTGTTCATCACCATTCCTGTAGAAGAGAAATAATTCTCTTTGACCATTTTAAAAAAGATTTTATTTATTCATCCATGAGAGACACACAGATAGAGGCAGAGACATAGGCAGAGGGAGAAGCAGGCTCCCTGCAGGGGCCCCAGTGTGAAACTCCATCGCAGGTCCCCAGAGATCATGACCTGAGCCGAAGGCAGACCCTCAACCTCTGAACCGCCCAGGCGTCCTTCTTTACCCATTTCTTGACCAAAAAAGAGAAATCAAAGGACAGATGGGGATGTCCATGGCGGGGACGGGGGCAATGCCAGTTGCCCCTTCCTCACTGGCAGGGCATGGTACGAGGAGGTTGCCCTCCCCGATTAGACCCCACGACCCTGGCCTCTGGCAGTAGCGTCTAGCGCACTGTCCCCCAGGACGAGAACTCCAGCTGGATTCCCAGGTGGAGCCCCCTGCCCCCAAGCTGGGCTCCCGCTGGGACCACCCCTGGGGACGGCGGAGTCTCCCGAGGGTCCAGTGGGGCTGAGGGGATGCGCGCGAGGCCGGCTGGGAGAGGCGAGCAGCGCGGCCGGCGCGCACGGCTGTGGGAACCGGGGGAGCTCTTGGCTCAGCTCCCTCACCGGGGACGACCGCCACCACGCGGGGCGCGCGGCACCTGCGCGCACAGGTGCAGCCCTCGGCGGCGCTCGGGCGGGCGCGGGCGGGCGCGGGGCGGGCGCGGGGCGGGCGCTGGGCGGGCGCTGGAGCGGCGGGCCGCGGCGATGGGCGGAGCCCGGGCCGCGGCGGGAGGTGGGCGGGGCCGGGCCGTGGGCGGGGGCCGGGGGGCGGGGCCGGGCCCGCGAGCGGCGGGCGGCGGGCGGGGCCGGGCGGCGGCGGCGCGCAGTGGGCGGGGCGGCGTGACGCGCGCCGACGCCGATCCCGGAAGCGGTGTCAGATGCTGGGGAGCCGGGCGGGCGGGCTGGCGGCGGGCGGCGGGCGGCGGGGGGGACTTGTTGTTCTTTGCGAAGTCGGAGCCCCAGCGCGCGGCGGAGGCGGCGGCCGAGGGGAGCGCGAGAGTGAGCGCGAGCGCGAGGAGAGCGCGTGCCCGCGAGGAGCCGCCGCGCGCCCGCGCCCCCCGCGCGACGCCAGGTGAGGAGCGGCCGGGCCGGGCCGAGTGGGCCGGGGCCGGGGCCGGGGCCGGGGCCGGGGCCGGGCCGGCCGGGGGCGGGCCGGGGCCGGGCGGGCGGGGCCGCGCGCCGCTGAGTCACGGCGGCCTCGGCGCGGCCGCGAAGTTGGGCGGGACCCCGAGACCCCGGCCCGCGCACCTGCCGTCAGGTGCCGCGCGGGCCGGGACGCCTGCCCCTGGGGCCCCGGAGCGCTCTCCCGATCCCCGGGCCGCCCCGAGCCCGAGCGGGAGGCTGGGGGCCCCGCGGGGGGGAGCCCGGGGCGTGCGGGCGGGCCCGGCGCTCCTCGTCCAGCCCTCTCCGCCGGCGGTGCCTTTGGCCCCGAGATCCGCTCGGAGGCGGGAAGGCGGGGGCGAAAATACAGGCCACGTGCAGGGGAGCGCGTGGTGGCGCGGGGCCGACCCGGCCGGGGCCGCCCTGCCAGGCGGGGGCTGCCCACCCGCGCTGGGGGCGCGGGCGGGGGCGGGGGGGACAGGACGAGGGGACTCAGGACCGCTGCCACGTTCGGAGCAGCTGACCTGCCAGGGGTTCCCCGGAGGCAGGCCTTGGGGTGGGAGCTCTGAGTGGGGAGGGGGCACTTCCCCCAAACCCCGCGGCCTCACCTTCCTCGTCTGCGAATGGGGGTCTCCATCCCTCCCAGGTCCGCCTACCCGCGTCCACTGCCCCCGCCCCGGGAACCTCGGAGGGCTACGGGGTGGGGGGGTGGGGGAGGGTCCCCCCTACCTGGGTCTACCTTAGGCAGAGCTGATGGCTTTGCCTTGGGCGTCTCGTGCTGTCCCGGCCAGCCACGTGCTGTGGAGTGCTTTCACAAAGCAGAACACAGTCGTGGAGCGTTGATGTTTTGGGGGTGCTGGAAGTTCCCTGCTCTGCTCTGCGTTAATGATTATGCTCTTGTTTACCTTTCCCGCTGCTCTCTGGTCGGGCAGCCCTGCTTCCCCGCTGGATGGTTAGTGCGGAAGATCCCTACACGCAGATGGGGTCCGTGGCTTCCTGGGTCGGCGTGACTTGGACGCCCTCCCCTCCCCCCTCTCCCCTCCCCTTTATGGGCACTGGAGATTTAGCTGTTACAGCCCTCCCAGCACAGGTATAGCTCGACGGAGTGCCGCACTCCACCGTGTGCGCTGGGCCTCTCCAAGCACCATGCCTTCTGGGATGGGGCTCCTTAAAGAGTGTCTGTCCACTCGGGTGGGAGGGGTCTGAGAAGTGGAAGGTGGGCTGTGCCGGTGGGTGAGGCACACCTAAACCTCTCTTGCATTGTGGGTAGTTGACATCTTTTGCAGAACTTCCCTCAGGAGGTAACCCAGTAGCAGTGTTTTGAGTTTGAGCTGGTGGGGGTGGGGGTGGGGGTGGGGGGAGGAGGGAGGTCTGCTTTTAGAACTTAACCCGGTCCTCCTGTGGTTCCAAAATAAAGTTTACTGACCCAGGAACACAAAGCAAGACTTCTCTTTGGAGTGCCTTTGCGTCTGTGTTTGAGCATAGCTGGACTTTAAGGGATGTGGTCCAAGTTCAGCCCCACTCACTTTCAAGGTGGTTGCTAAAAATGGGAGTCGAATTGGGGCTACTGGGGAAGTCACTGCTGTGGCTTGCTTCGTTCCAGCCCTGTCTCCAGGGCCCGGGAGGTCTGCAGTGAGGTGGCTTTCCCAACCCACCTTCGTCCGCCCAAGTGTCTGCTGCCCCACACGCCGGCTCTCTTGGAGCTCCAATAGCTGGAGAGTCTGTTTACTGTCTCAGGAGCCGAGAAGAAGGCCTGCCTGGTCCCGAGTCTAAAGGTTTCTGGAGTGGACTTTCTGGCTTTAGGGTCCAGTCCACACGGGAAATGGAACCCGGGCAGCTGTGAGCGTTCTCTGTGTGGCTGCTCCTCAGAGCAGTAAACAGTGACTCACCCTCCCCTCTGCTCCCCGCCTCCCTGCTCCCTGCTGATGGAAGATGCATTGCTCCCGTGTTTACTTTTGCTTTTTGTAAGTCCCAGACTCGTCATGTTTCCTCTTTCTTACAGTTTCAGGAAATTGAAAGTGTTGTCTTAAAATCATAGAACTTTAGAACAGGTAGAGATACATGGTAGGGATCATGCAGTCCACGCCCCACCCCCACCCCCTCCCGCTTTAGATGAGGGCCCCAAGCCTGAAGCCTCCTCACCTGGCCTGTAGCGCCAGAGTCTGACACCCGGGGTCTGGGGTAGCACCCTGCCTGCTTTTCTGTGTCACATGGGCTGCCCTGGACGAGGGGTGCCCCAGAGCCCCCTCCCTTCAGTGCAGTGCTCACGTGTGGTTAGGCAGCATGCCTCTCACTTGCTGGAAGTTGAGGGGAACAGGTGTAGTTAAGAACATCCCCTGCTTTCCTTCCAGCGAGGGGAGCAAGCCTCGGACAGAGAGACCAGGACCGAGTCTTGGGCTCAGCCCTTGATTTATGCTCACCAGAGGGTGCCCGCCTGCCACAGGGAGGGCAGGAGGGGGCTTTCTGGTGCAGTAGGGGTTGAGGGAGGAGGGCAGGAGCACTGATTGTGGGGGCCCTAGAAGGCAGAGCTGGAGGCCTGGAAGGCGACAGGTAGCCAGGGAGCAAGGGGCTCAGGAGGGCCTTTGGGCAGGTGGTGGTTCTTCCTATCCTGGGGCCTACATTGGAGGGACCAAGGTCCAGATGGAAGTAGCCGAGGCCTGAGCCAGGTGCTGCTGGAGGGCTGGAGCATCTGCAGGGAGGAGGGCTGAGGCCAGCAGGTGGACGTGGAAGGAGCAGTGAGGCCTTGGGGACATGAATTGCATGCTGGGACATCAGCTGAGCTGGAGACTGGGAAGCAGGGCAGGTGTGGGGACAGGGTGCATCTCTGGGGCTTGTCAGACACACCGGCTCTTTAACCTTGGCTGGACATGGAGGTTGGGGCTGGTTGACCCCCTGGGCAGCTGTGGAGCGAACAGAAGCGCAGAGGGGAGCCTGGAGACAGGACGACCACCCAGAGGGGTACCAGGGCAGCGAGGGGCCAGGGCGTGGTCCAGGAGGTGAGGCATTCGGCCTGCTGTCAGCTTAGCAGCCGCCTGAGTCACCTCTGGACAGAGCCAGGATGACACAGCTTCCTCAAACTGCAAACGCAAGGTGACCAGACGTCCTCCGAGCCAGGCAGACAGTCATGTCTTGCCGGAGGGCGGCCAGCCAGGGCCAGCCTGCAGGCTGGGTGTGGGCCGGGCTGGTGGGGTGCACCCCACATTGAGGGGAGTCCAGCGGGAGGTGTGCGCCCTCCTGGTCCTGGGACCCATCTTCAGTTGGTTGAGGCATCTGCTTGGAGGGCAAGCTGGCTGTGTTAACCTGTGTTCATGGGACAGTTGACTCCTGTGCCCCACTGTGCAGCTGGGAGCTTAGCTTTGGGCCCCCTGTGAGAAGGGCCCCAGTCCTCCAGGACACAGGCAGTCACGTCACGGTGACTTCGGGCTTTGGGGTTTGCAGCCACCCAGGTGAGTCAGGTGCTGTTTTGCTGCTCAGAGTGGAGATCTGCTCGAGGACAGAACCCCCTCCCTCCCTCCCTGGACCTGACAGCCACAGAGCCCTGGGAACACAGGCTCAGAACAGCTGGGGTGCTGAATGGGGGCAGGCACGAGGAGTGGCAGTGGCCTTCACTCCACACTGAGCAGGGGCAAGTGTTTTGAGACCCCACTCTGCTGGAGGCCAGAGATTCGGCTTCCTGCACGTGAGGCTTACGGTGTAGGTGGGTCTCACCAAGGGGAGCATTAGAACCCTGTGAGACTCCAAAGCCCCAGGCCATTGTGCCCAATAGCCACCCGGCTTTACTGGTGAAGCAAACGTCCCCCTGGGGCCCTGAATCTGGGTCCAGTGCAGAAAGGGCCAGAGCACCCTGGGGCCAGCCTGGACTGCAGTTGCCCCAGGTGAGCAGAATGGGACAGTGGGCAAGCAGTAGACATATGCTGGGGGCATGGAGGGTCTGAGGCCCTGGCCTCCAGCTCACCTGCCCCTGGAAGGGCTGTCCTGGACTGTTGAACCTGGACGACCTGCCTATTCTTGGTGGGGCCCAGAAAGGAGGGCAGGCTCTGGCTCCCTAACTTGTTCCAAACGGCCATCCCCAGACTTGACGTACATCTAGGCTGCTGGTATGTCTGTTTTTGTTTGTTTTAAGGGCGAATGGTCTTTCCCTGGACTTTGTGTAGATAGACACGAGAATAGAGTTTCCGGCTTTGGGTTGAAGACTAAGCTCTTCAGTTAGAAAAGCAGTCACCAGAAAGGTGTTCCAAATTATAATACAGCACAGCCTTCCTTGACCAGCAGCGTCTCAAGGGCTGCGGGACATGGGCGTCCTTACCCTCACTTGCTGGGCAGGCATGCGCGCCACAGAGGTTCAGACCCACCTCCCGGGATCCCTGCCTGGCTCTGGCCATTGGGCTGCTCGGGTGACTTTACTGGAATTCAGAAAAGCCTGTGGAGAGAGATGAGCACTCCGTCCACTCATGGCGGTTTTGTTAGCAGTGACGGGAGATGATGGCCGGAGTGTCATCCTGTGCAGCTGTCGGAGAGTCGTGGGGTGGTCCTGGTCCTGACCTGTTGCTGGTGCGGTGGCACTGGTATCGAGCCTGCTGTGGAAAGGAAGGAGGGCCACCTTACCAGCACTCCGCCCGCCTGGCCTATCAGGGCCGAGGTCTCTAACCCCGGCTGGGGTCCAGCCCAAGACCATAACACAGTCCCTCCTGCGCTCTGGTGGTTCAGTCATTTATAAATACATGTTTTAGGGCAGTTGTTTTAAAATCAGTTGTTTTACAAACTTGGACAGGTATGAAACCTCTCTCTGAACCTATTGCCAAAAGCAAACTGTTAGGGTTTTTTTTGCCTTTTGTGTTTGAAGTGACTTTAGTTCACTACTGCATATATGTTGTATAGCTTGGCAGAGGGGAATGATGGTGCTTTGTTTGTCTGTATACTGAACTCAGGAAAGCAGGGCAGTGCCTGGCCAGCCCTGTGCTCCTGGATCTGGGTCCCTGGCACTGTGGCCCTGGGGCTGTGAGGTGCCTCTGGGGGCAGACTGCTGGGTGCTGGCAGGGCAGGCAGACAGTTGTGCTTTCCAGCAGCTGGAGGAGACTTCCAGTCGAGTGGGTGCCTCAGGAGGGGGCGGAGGCTGAGATTTGGGTCCTCCTGAGGCAGTGGGGTTGTGTCTGCGAACAGAAGGCCCTGGACAGTGTTTGCTCTTACCTGGGACTTGCCCACCTGTCCCCAAGTCTCTGGCTTCTCAGGGGTTTCCTGGTATGGACCCTAGCCCCCTGGGGGTTGAGTGGAGCCCCCAATCTCCTTGGCGTCCCCCACTCGGCCCAACTGAGGCCTCAGCAAGCTGCACAGAAGCCTGGGACCCCTGGTTCCGATCCCCTCATTTCAGAGAAAGAGCCTGAGACCTACAGAGAGAAGAGCTTTACTGGGTTTTCCCCCAACCTTGTCTCAAGGCGATGATCACCTCCGCGTGTACTCTCCCGTTGAACAGGTGGTCTGAAACCAGCAGGGAGTCCCCAGGGGTCAGACTGCAGCGTGGCACCATCCCACAGAGAGAGGCGTCCCTTCTTGCTTGGACCCCAGGTGGGCTTGGGGCCACTCTTCTCCCACCTCTGCTGAGGCGCTCATCTGTATCCTGTCCCCAGAAGGCCAGGGAGGTGGGTGGGTGGGTTCAGAGCTGGTAGACATGGGGCTTTGCCCAGGTGACCTTGACCTTGCAGACTTAGCCAAGGGACCCTGAGGGGGCCTGTGCAGACAGAGAGGAGGGGCCGAGCCCTTGGAGCGCCGTGGCCCAGTCCTGTGCCCATCCTGGTTACCTGGACATCCCACCTTGCCTGTCATGGAGGGCAGGTCCCCAGAGGAGGTGTACCTGCCCTGACCGAAGCCCTTTGTGGCCTTGGGTGCTGGCTGAGCTGGCCCCTCACTGATGGTGAGGGAGAGAAGCCCCTGCTGGTCGGGGTCTGAGCGGAGGTCCCTCCTTTTCTGGGGCCTCCCTTTTCTCATCAGGCAGGCTGGGCGGTCCGTGCAGGGTGGGAGGGCTTTAGGTCTGTGGGAATGTGAGCTCCTCACTCTGTAAACAGCTGTGACTCACCGCACAGCTATGCCCTGGCAGCTCCAGGCCCTTGTGCGCTGACGTGTGCTGGAATGGCACCCGGCCACCCCTCCTGTGCCCGTGGAAAAGTTTCTCATGGCTCTCCCAGCTGCCTGGCTTCTGCTGGCCCTCCAGGTGGCTTCTCTAGCTCGGCTTTGACCCCAGCACCTGGAGGGAGGGACACTCGTTGTGCCCCCCACCCCCCAACACCACAAATGCCGGGGGTCAGGCTGCTGTCAGGAAGCAGCTCCTGTGTCCCTGCCGGGATCACCCCATGCTGCTGTGTCTGCGTATCTGTCTCATGCACACGTGTGGGGGGTGCGGAGGAGACCAGGGCCCCCAAGGGTGTGCCTGGTCTCAGCCCTGCTGCTGTCCTGCTCTCCATCATCCATCATTAGTGCCCGGGAGAGTGGCTGTGTTGCCAGGGCTGACTGGGGGTCCAGTGGCCTGGGTGCTGAGACCCTCTGGGAGCAGCAGGCAGGAGCAGTGGGGGGACAAGTCTAGGCTGTGCTGCACTCGGGGTCCCAGGGCCATGCGTGAAGGAAGGCGGGGTAGAGTCACCCACCGAGTCCCACTCGCCCTGGAGATGGAGGCTTTGGTGCAGCTCCTTCTCTGGGGCCTGCCCCCTCCCCCGCCATGCATTTTTCTCATGTTCTCTCTGCTCAGTTCACTTTACCTGGCGTTTGGAATGTGGACCCTGGTCCCTAACCCAACGACAGAGTGTGCTGGCAACTCTAGAACCCCTTCCCCTCATCCTCCCCAGCCAGCCGCCAGGGCACACGGATTTGTTTACTGTCCCACAACCTGTGATGTCTGCACCCGCCTGCCCAAAGCCATTGTTGCTGTGGGCTTCTCTGTTTCCATGACGACCATCAAGGGTTGGCTACTTCCCAAGGTCGCCATGGCAACTATCAGAGGGGAATCATGCTTGGGATGCTTTGGCTGGCTTTTTCATGAATGATTAGAATGTGTGACACAATGCAGACGCGAAAACTAGAAGGGCGGGCAGCGGTGGGGGCTGGCGGGCGCCGGGGACGACTCCCGCCAGACAGTCGATGAGCTCGTGCGGTGGCGGCTCCCCACCTCCTGGATCCTGCCCTGGCCAGTGTAGGGAGCCCCCGCCCACCTCATGGGCCTCAGGTCATGGCTGTAGGGCAGCCCAGGTGGGGGTGGTGATGCCACAGCTGCAGTGCTCTTTGCGGAGGTAGGTCTGCTAGGGAGGGCGGGGCCCCGGCGGGTGGGGGCTCCACCCGTCCCTTGGGGTGTGCTCTCCGAAGGAGCCCTTCCTCTTTGGAGCCAGGCTAGGTCAGGGGTACCGGGGGCTCTTGCCAGGGCAGGGTGCCATCCTGGGGGCAGCAGTGCCCTTCAGGTGCTGGGTGTGGCTGTTCCCTGGTGGGAGCTTTGCTGCTGCGCACTCTGGCCCTTAAACGTGCAACCTGTGCCTGGTGGGTGCAAGCGTCTCAGCTCAGAGGGAGTGAGGACAGGCAGCAACAGCTGCTCTGGTGCCCCCCCCCCCCGACCCTGGCAGCATAGGCCTGGTGGGCAGGGGAAGCACAGAACAGCCGTGTAGCTGCCAGGCGCTGGGCCAAGGTGGGTCTGGGTGACTTGGTGGTCTGATGCTGGAGTGGGGGGTGTGGCCAGGATGCCGACCCTTCGGCAAGTCCCTCAGGCCTGGCTGGCTCCCATCTTTTGGGATGACTCGGAACGAGGAGCTGAGCCTCCTTGGAGCATCTATACGGTGGGGATGTCCCCACCTCAGGTCACTTATGACGACAGCAGGTCCCATCCCCAGCCTGGCCAGAACCTAACCTTGCTCACTTTTGTGTTCTTATGTGATCTTGTAGTTCCAATTTCCAAGGCCTTCTGTTCGGGTGACGTGCCCAGGTTATGACGACTAATCCCAAACCAAACAAGGGGTTAAAGGTAAGTGGGACTAGGGGTGAGCAGACCCTGTTTCTGTCCTGAGCTCAGACCCCAGCAGCCCCTCTTTCCCAGGATTGCCCTGAGTGTGAGGAAGGAAGTCCCACCCCCTGGAATAGAGTGTGTTTGTGGGGGCTGTTGGCTAGAGGAGGTGTCACAGAGCGGTGGTGACAGAATTGAGGGTTGTGGCCACGGGAGATGCCAGCTCTGACATCCGGGGGATCGCTCCTTGGGAGGGTGAGGTGTAGGAGCGGATCCCCAGATCTCTGTTGGCTTGGATGTGCTCATCACCCCGGCACCCGGGCGTGGGCAGTGTGGCCTTCATCCCCTAGAACCCCTGGCAAGGCAGCACGTGTGAATGGTGACGCTCCAGCTCCCAGGGCCTGGCTCCGACTGTACGCAGTGCGTGCTGCCTCCCAGGCCCACCCAGCTTCTGAGGCCGGTAGCCTGTGCTCTTGGTTGGTTGTCTCATCCTGGGAGCAGAGCTGGGTCTGGCACGAGAGGGAACTCTGAGCATTTGTGGTGAGCCGTGCACACCCACACCCCTTCTGAGGGCCCACTAGGTCAGAGGGGTGTGGAAGGATGGGCTGCCGTGCCTTCCTGCTCCTCACCTACCTGTGTCCATCCCACCCCCCGGCACTGGAGCTTCACAGAGGGCGGCATGCACGTGGGCCATGGCCTTGCAGGGTCTGGGTAGCCAGTGGGAACCAGGTGAGGGTCAGGTGTAGCCAGTGACCCCCATCACAGAGCCACAGAGCCACCTGCATTCTACTGTGTGTGTGGTGTCAGGTGACCCCACAGGGACCACCCCCAATCCATGATGGAGGAGTGAAGGCCAGCCTGGGCGGCAGAGGCGGTGCTGCCAGGTTTTTCTGCTGCCCGGAACCAGGCTTTGTCCCAGCGTAGACACACTGAGCCAGCTCTGGGGGCCCACTGTGGCAAGTCCTTCCTGCCGCCCCCCTACGGCACCCCCGCGTCCCTGTGCTGACCCCTGTGCTGTGGCCCCTGCAGGTCAAGAAGGAGGCGGGCGAGAACGCCCCGGTGCTCAGCGATGACGAGCTGGTGTCCATGTCGGTGCGGGAGCTGAACCAGCACCTGCGAGGCCTCACCAAGGAGGAGGTGGTCCGCCTGAAGCAGCGCCGGCGCACGCTCAAGAACCGCGGTTACGCCGCCAGCTGCCGCATCAAGCGCGTGACGCAGAAGGAGGAGCTAGAGCGGCAGCGGGTGGAGTTGCAGCAGGAGGTGGAGAAGCTGGCTCGAGAGAACAGCAGCATGAAGCTGGAGCTTGACGCGCTGCGCTCCAAGTACGAGGCCCTGCAGACCTTCGCCCGTACCGTGGCCCGTGGGCCTGTCACCCCCACCAAGGTGGCCACCACCAGCGTCATCACCATCGTCAAGTCTGCCGAGATCTCCTCCACCTCCGTGCCCTTCTCAGCCGCCTCCTAGTGCCTGGCCGGGGGTTGGGCCTTGGGGTGCAGCAGCCCGGGTGCTGGGTGGGCAGGCGGACGGGTGGTGGGCATCCCTCTCATGCCCATCAGCGGTTCCCCTGGGGAGCAGACCCCCTAACACCTGAGCCCAAGTACAGACTCGTGGCGGGGACGAGGGTGCTGGCTAAAGATGGGGTCTTGTGAGACCGTGTGCTGCACGCCTTCCCACATGCGCACACATGCACACACGCACACACGCACCCACCTGGCCTTCCTTTGGGCCCTGCCAGCTCTCTCCAGACTGTCCTTTTCCAGGGGTGTGCATCTTGTGCCACTGGGAGTCGGGGTGTATGGAGGGAAGGTCCACAAGGTTCCTGGCCCCGTGGCCCAGATGGCAGGGCCTCTGTCTTCCACTGCCTCCAGGAGTGGCCTGCTGTCATCCACCAGCTGGTGCAGGAACCCCCTCGCTGCCCTGACTGAGCTCTGGTGCTCTAGGAGGAACCATTTGTCCCTGGTGACAAAAAGCACCATGACAGTGCTCTAGCCTTACCGGAGACAAAGGGAGGGCTGCCTGAGAGGCTGTGTGTGTGTGTGTGCCCCAGGACAGGCCTGCCATCACACCAGCGGTCACACCAGCACGCCAGCAGCACAAGGGCTGCAGGGGAGCGGCTTGGTGTGGCCTGTCACGTGTACCAGATTTCCGTGGGGGTTGCCGGCTTTCCCTCTGTTGGAGGGACCCCAGGGAGGTCCCCACTGAGGAGCAGTAGCTGCTGGGCGGGGAGCAGCCAGCCAGGGAAGGTGGAGCAGGTGCAGGAAGGGGTGGCGGGGCCTGGGGGTGGACGCGCGCAGGGGTTCTGTGTGGAATGGGGTGAGGTTGGCAGGGTCCTCGAGGGCAGGCTGTGGTTCTGCAGGAGGGGCTGGGTGGTGTGACAAGGGAGTTGACACAGGCATGGGGCCACCTCCCAAGGACCTGGGTGGTGTGTTGGTGCAGGGGACAAGGGGACACAGCCACCTTGGTGCTTCATCCTTACCTGGAACCTTCACCTGCTCTTTCTCCCCCCCCTTGGCACCCCTCATGACCTTGGTGATCCCTGCTGGGGCTTCCCTCCCCTGCAAGCCTCCTCCATTGATCATGGCTTCTGTGCTCCAAACTTGGACCGCCCCTTCCTGCCCCTGCTGGAGCCATGCCAGGGCTGCGGGGTTTGGGGGTGGTCTGTGAGTTCAAGCTCCCAGCTTCCTCCTGGCCCTGCCACCCGCCACCCACCACCTAGGGAGGAAGAGGACATGTGGCCCCAACGGCTGCATCCTCCTCTTGTGTCTGCTGTCAGGGGCGGCCGGAAGACGTCTGGGGCTCTGCAGCAGCATTGCCTTGTGGCCTTGGCTTGGCCTTGTCCTGGGGGAGGGTGAAGGGTCTTGGGCATGCTGGATCCTGACAGAGCAAAAGGCCCAGTGTATTTAAAAAAAAAAAAAAAAAAAGCTGTCAATACCATAGCCATGGTAGGTAATCCACATTGGATATCAATAAGGACCATGGGGAAATATTTAAAAGAGAGAAAAGTATATATATATATAAAATTATATACACATTTTATCGTACAGATTTTTCGTAACTTTTTTCCTGTTTTTACTGTAAATCCCTGATAGAGCAGAGCTGCAGTTTGGGTCGGGTGGGGGTGGGAGCCTATCACCCCCACCCCGGCTGCCCGCTGCTCCCCTCCGCATCCCGCCTGCCCTGGGGCCCCCTGTGTGCCCGCTCCCTGGGGGGCTGGGGGCCAGGGACGGAAGACCGGAGCATTCTCGCGCTTTTTCTTTCAGCTCACTGAGATTCCATTGTCACACGTTTAATATATGGATTTTTTTTTATTTAAGAGAAAAGGCAAGGACCTCTGTCCCTTGGGTTTGTCCCCTTGTCTCCTGTGCTTCAGACACACGGGTCCTTCCCGAGGGGGCAGTGCCTTCATCCGTCTGGGTGACAGGGCCTCCTGTGTCCTCGCCTCCATTGCTCGGCTGTTCCATTTCAATATTTATTTTTGTGCTGCTTTTATGGTATAAATTATTGAGAAGAGACCCCACGTTGTGGTCCTTGTTCGTTTGACACGTCTGCGCCTGCCCTGTCCCCTCACAGCCACCACCTAATTTATTGCTGTACATCTCTGCTGTGATGCTTTTGTACCTTTGCAATAAAGTTTTCTGGTTTCAGACCCGCCTGGTTTTGTGACTGGGGCTTTGGGTCAAGTCCCTGGGTGTGTGTGTGGGGGGGGGGGCGTTGGATGTGCTAGGCCACTGCACCCCCCTGCCCGTGTCCTGGCCCCCTGACCCCATCATCCTCACCTGCGGTGGGTCTCCTAGGTTTGGAGGGGGGGTGTCCATCAGGACAGCCTTGGGATGGGGAGGGGGTCAGGCAGGTGGACGCGGCTGGGCTGGCCTTGTGAATGGTGGGCACGATTCCTGAGTGTCCTGTCTGCCCTGACCAGGAGCCCCTGGCCCTTGAATGCGGATTGCTCCCCCCACCCCCCTGTTGGTATGTGCCCCAGTCTCAGGTCAGGTCTTGCAGGAGGTGGGAGTAGGGAGAGGGAAGGTTGATCTGGGGTGAATGAGATGCCTAAAGTAAGGGGGCGCTCCTGGAAGCCAGAGCCGAGGGCCTTCCCCACCTACCATCCCTTCAAGAGGCAGATGGGTCAGCCTCTGAAGGACGGTGGGCTTGCAGATGAGGTCTCACGGTTTCCAAGACCTGCTGGCCTCCTGGCCCACCTCTGCCTAAGCTGATGGGATGGCCCCCACCCTCCCTGTCCCTGTGGGGCAGGGTGGGGAGGCTTCAGTGCCAGGACCACCCCTGTCCTTGCTGTCCCTGATGGGCGGGGGGGGGGGCTTCAGTGGGTGGCGAGCTCTGGGGCACCTGTCTCCAGCCTTCCAATCCACAGGTCCCTTGTGTGCAGTCCTGGGAGCAGACTGGCAGCGTGGCAGGGTCACCCGGGCCCCCAGCTAAGCCAGACCTCCCCGAAGCCAGGCCTGCTCCACCTGTGAGAGCCCCGCGTGGCGGCCCAGTGCCTGGGGCTGGCAGCGAGCCCGCGGGCGTGAGCTCGGGGAGGCATGGACTCCAGCCTGTCAGGGCCCCTCTGCCCTGCCCCGGCCGTCCACCCCTCTCGGGGCTGCCTCCTTGGGTGCGGATCGCTGGAGCCATTTCCCAGATGAGAGCACGGGGACCTGCCTACCCTGCCACTCCTGGCCCCCAGAACTGAGAGCCCACCTTGTCACCATCAATGGCCAGAGGTGCCTCCTCCCCTTCCTTCTCAAGGGTGCCCATGCTCCCCCCAGGAGGGGGGCGGCCAGTGAGGTGGGGGCAGTGACTCTGTCCTACCTGCGGGTGGCAGGGGCACGGCTTTACTCTGTCGTCAGAAGGAGAAGCAGCACCTAGTCCCAGGCGGAGATGTCTGTGGGGGCCCGCATGAGGGCGAGTGCTGGCTTTTGTGGGGTTGATCCAATTCTCGAAAGTGGCTTAACCTCTCTGGGCCTCAGCCAACTTTCCCATAGCTGTGGTGAGGATGGAGTGTACGCCAGGGTCCTGGGCCCACCCTTAGCACACAGTGGACCCCCTGCCCCTGACCCCAAAGTGCCAGGCTGACAAGGCCATCCCCAGTGCACAGACCTGGCCTGAAGGCGCCCTCGCTCCCAGCAGCCCACACTGGGTGTGACCTTTGGAAGGAGATCCCCATCCACTGACCCTGTGCACACGGCTTTGGGCAGCTGGGGCCTAAGGGGGTGGACATCCCCGGGCAGGGGCCTGCAGGGCAGCATGGCCCCATCACTCACAGTGGGGCTGGCACCGGGTCCTCCTGCGATTTCCATACAACCTTCTGCGGAGGTCGACAGATCTCAGAGGCACTGTGCCCACTCGCAAACCTGCTGACAGACCGCAGGGCCTGCGCGGGGCCGACCATGGCCCGCCAGCTGTGGAAGGCATGATAAGGCGGGTGGGTGGCTTATCTCGCAGGGCAGCCCATGTGGGCTCTTGGAGAGGCTGATGCCTTGAGTCCCAGGTTGCAAGGCCTCAGGGCCACCCTACTCTGGCCAGGACACCGTGGGTCAGTCCCTGCCCTGCTCAGTCTCTCCGAACCTTTGGGTCCTTTCCCCGGTGATGGGGTACAGGTGGCCAGGAGGGGTGGAGGTCATCGCTGGAGGGTGCCCACCAGGCTTTCCTGCCTGCTGCTCCCCACCCTCACGGGCTCTCGGGCACACAGGCCCCTGCCCTCAGGAGGTGTCCCCATTCGGCTGGCTGCTGCTGGCATCTCTCCCGTGTCCCATGCCACAAGGCCCCCTTGAAGCTTCTGGAGGGCAAGGTGAGTGTCTGGCATAGCATAGCCTGGCACATAGGCGAGAGGACGGGGAAGGCAGGCTCCATCCAGCTGCAAGCCCCGTCTGCATGCTGTGCGCTCTCTGGGCTTGTGTCCGGGTCCTCCATGGACCCACTGTGGTCGAACCTGGCCAGGGACTCATTTTATGAGGACAGCTGAGCTCCAAAAGGAAGGGGAGTGCTCTGGGTCTCCTGGGAGCACAGGGCAGGTCTACCTGTGAGCTCTGTGCTCCCTCTGCTTCAAGCGAGGACCCAGACCCTTCCCCCAACACCAGACTTAGCACAGTGGGGCTCATCTGACAGCTCCGCTGCAGTCCCTTCCTCCCGGCACTGACCCTGCAGGAACAGAGACCACTGGAGTCACTAGAAAACCCAGGTGTTTATGTATAAATAAGTGTGATTCACCTAGAAGCCCCACAAGCTCCGTGAGCTGCCCGGGGCAAAGGTTCTGTGCAGGTGGCACCTCGAGGTGGGGGCTTTCTGAGAATCTCCACCGCCGGAGGGGGTAATGCGGCAGCCCGGCAGGACCCAGCTGAGCTCTCTGGCCCCGCTGCCTATGGGGCCTGCAGTGCCACGCTCTCCCAACACCGTCCTGCCCTGCAGGGGCCCGGCCTGGATTCCATCCATGCAGTGAGCCTGCTGGTGCCCGTCTCACAGCAGCCCCCTGAGCTGATGGCCAGGGGAGCCCCGAGGGTCCCAGGCTCATCAGATAAGCTCAGGTGTCCCCTCCTGGGGCCAAGGGCCTGCCGGTGGGAGGCAGACTGGGAGGTGGCTCCACAGGCCTGGCAGGAGACTCCCAGGAGGGGCTTTGGCAAGAGGGCTGGTGGGTGAGGAGCCCTGTGCTTTCCCAGAGGCCTGGGCAGGTGGTCACAACCAGGTGGCTGGTGATTCGTGGCCCTTCTACAGTTCCTCCGAGGGGATCAGCATCCGCTTTTCCACGTTCCGACTCTTTCTGATGGCACCAGAGCCTCCTGCCACGCTGGGGTGGGTGCCGGGGCTTGGGGCCTCATGTGTGGCCTGCTGGGTGTAGTGCTGGTAGGCGGGGGAGAAGTTGTGCACGGCGTCCTGCACGATGTCCTGTGGGCTCATGGTCTCCTTGAGGCCACTGGAGATGCTGTGCATGGGTGCCTCGGGGGCTGGGGGCAGACAACACGAGTGTGGGGTCGGGGTGTCCTGGACCTGTCCATTTCCCTTCGGACCCCAGCCCCGGGGGATACGGCCCTGCTCCCACCCGCCTCCAGGCTGCCCAGGCCCTGGGCTCAGCCAGCAGGGGGTGACTTCCAGCCCTCAGGGCTTCAGAATCCCAGCCTGCTCCTCCCGCTGGGGCTATCCCAGCCCAGACTCCTGGGGCCTACAGGGAGAGACCGCCTTGGCCAGCTCTGGTCTTATCTCCAGCTCGGAGTGAGCCCTTCATGCTTGGGGTAACCCAGGCTGCCAGAGCAGGTGCAGGCCATCACCACCCAAATGGGTCATTCACTAGGGATGCCCGGGGCCCCTGGGTGTGGTGGGCAGGGTACCCCAGGCTCGGGAAGCACCCCCCCCATCCCAACAGGGGCTGTGGGGCCCAGACATCCAGTCTGGCCCCTCTCACTCAGAGCTCAGAGCCTGGGCCAGATGCAAGTGTGGGCCCTGTCCAGGGTTGGGTCCTCCGGTGTCCATGAGGTTGCCATCCCCTGGGCCCATATATGGGATGGCAGATAGTGCTGAGGGTGCCCCAAGGAAGACAGGGCTGGCTTCACACTCCCAGGCCCCTGGCTGTGATATCGCCGCACACTCCACATGCCCCCACCCCCCACAGGGCCCAGCAGGCACACCTGGTGAGTTCTCTTTCTTCTCTGCATACACCTGGCAGGTGAAGGCATAGCGCAGGGCAATGGAGGCAAACAGCATCTCGATGCAGATGATGAAATTTTGGTAGCCAGCTGCCACTGTGCCAGCCCCCACCTTGCTCCCATCGATGACCTGGACCTCAGGGATGACCCCACACTTTTCCAGGATGGCCAGCAGCATCCCTGGGGATGGTGACAGCTGCTCAGGCACCTGCCCTGCACAGGTCTTGTGAGCCGGTGGGGGTCCGCCAGGGAGGATGAGGTTCAGCAGAGTAGGTGCCTCCAAAGCCAGGGTCCCCACACTGTGGGCACCTGGGAGCTCCCCATGTGTCTGCCCTGACCTCCCTGATCCCAGAGCTTAGGTCCACCCCTCCCCTGCAGGGTGGGGTCTGGAAGCGCTCCCAGCCTGGCCCTGGGGGCTTCTGCCTGTGTACTCCACCCACGACCACCCAGACCTGCTGGAAGGGGACTCGCCATTTCCCCCGCTCCAGGGGCTTTGTGGTGTCTGGCCAAGGGAGTGGGGGTTCCGACCTGTGCTCCACCAGGGAAACTGAGGCCAGGCCTGAGGTCACACAGGGCCTGGGGATGGACGTGGGATGGACTCTAGTCTCTGCCCCAACAACCCACCCACCCTGCCAGAAGGAGAGGAAGATGACGGCCTTGATGGTGAGGAATTTGAGGACGGGTTCAAAGGGCTGCAGGAGCTCCCTGGTGGCGAAGTAGAAGAGGAACAGGGCGTAGAGGGCCAGGCTGACGGAGACGTTGTAGATGAGGGTGACGTAGAGGTAGCCGCTGTGGATGCTGGGGCCAGAGCAGGTGCCGGGGGTTCAGGGCATGCCCCCCGCCCTCCCCACTGCCCCAGCCTGGGTACCAACAGGGACGTGCACCTGAACCCTTCCCGCACGGAGCCCTTGTGGGGAGTCCCAACACGGCTGTAAGGATGTAGCCCTTCTCCTGATGAAACCCCCCGCCCCCTTCCCTGTCCACCCACGCACAGCCTGAAGGGATGACCTCTGCATGTAGACACAGGAGTGGTGTGCGCCCATGTGTGAGCGTGTGGGTGATGTGCGTGAGACCTGTGGGCATGTTCACACGTACACGGGAGTGTTGTGCTTGCATGAGCTTGCGAGCGGGTGTCTGTGTGTACGCGTGCATGAAAGCCTGCGTGTGCCTACTTGTGGGCGTGTGCTTGTGTGAGCGAGAATGCACACCTGTGAGCATGTGTGTGCCCGCACACGCCATGTATTCCTGCGGACCCGGTGCAGGGCTCCCTCCCAGAGTGCCAGGGAGGCGCTGCCCACCTCCCTGTGCCCAATGGCTCCCTGGGCCTGAGTGCCCTCGTCCCCCTCACTCTCCCCCAGGTGGGCTGGCTGCAGGGTGGTGGCTGGGGGAGGGAGCCCCTGGACCTAGAGTGTGCAGCCCCACAACCCACAGACACGGGCCAGCTCTTCTGGGTCTGTTTGCTGCAGCCTCACCCTGGCAGTCTCCCAAGAGGAGGGGAGGCCTGTTTGGCACCTCTGAGGACTCAGCCCGCTGCCTCTCCTCTCTGCCAGGCCCAGTGCCCACCCCCCAGCTAGCACAGCACCCTGGACTTACTTGAAATCTCCATCGTGGTATTTGCCAAATGCCTGCAGGACAATGGTGATCAAGGCCATGATGGGCTTCACGATGCAGAACTGCAGTGTGGCCTGGGGTGAGGGGGAAGCCAGGGGTGGTCAGGGGGTGGCTGCGAGGGGCAGGGCAGGGGCAGGCAAGACCCTTACTGACCTGCTTGCAAAAGCGCAGGAAGCCGATGGAGTAGGACATGCCCTGGAGGCAGCAGGTGCCATAGAAGCAGCTGGACCTGGGGTGTGAAAGTCCCTTAAGCAGGGCCCGGGAGGACATGTCTCCAGACCGGCCCTGATGCCTGGGGTGTGGAGGGGCCCCTGTGGGCTCTGGGGCGAGATGCTTACCGGATGGGCTTTCCCCGAATCTCAGCCATGATGGCGCTCTCACCCCCCAGGTACTGGAAGCAGAGGCTCAGGAAGCTGTAGATGACAAAGGCTGCAGAGCAGAGGGCCGGGATGCGCAGCAGTGAGCCTCGGCTCCCCGAGGATGCCCACACCAAGGACCCTCACACAGCAGGACCCTCCCCTCAGCTTCGCGACCACCCACCATCCCTGGTGACCCCTGGCTGTTGGCGGTCACTGTGGCCATGGTGTCCCCACCCCCATTCCGACCAAGCTGGACTCGGCCCTGGAGGGTGGAGTTCCTGAGCTGACAAGCGGCCTTCCTCGATCTTGCTGGGGGTGCTCACCTTCATAGCAGTCACGCACCGAGTCGAAGTAGATGTAGTGCTGGTGGCCCCCCAGGAGGAGGAGGCTGAGCCAGGAGTCAAAGGCATAGATGGGCACGATGAAGAGTAGGCGGATGATGTAGCGCTGCTCGTTGGGGACCGTGTAGGACCGCAGGTGCAGGTAAATCTGGGCGGGCAGAGCAAGGGCAGGCTTGGGGGGCGGCAGGCCGCATACAGCCCCCGTTGTGCAGGCCAGCGGGCAGGGCAGTGTGGGAGGCAGTGTGAACTTCCCAGGGTGCGGCAGGCCTGTTCGTAGCACATACTCTGCAGCGGGAATGCTCGCTCACTCATGTATGTGTTCATTCATTCCGAGAGAATCTTCCTGGGGGTGGGGGTGGGGGTGAGGGGCATCCATGGCCCCCGAGGGGGCACGGCCGCTCTGGAAGGCAGTTTGGCATCTCAGTGTTGGGGGGGGAGCATCCAAACAGCTGATACCCTCGACCCCTCCTGGGATTTTCCCCACGGAGCAGGTACATTCAGAAAGAAAGGGTTTGGGTATGAGGATGCCCATCACAGCAACCCGTGCGTGGCAGTGGGGCCGGGCTGGTCACGGCAGAGCCACCCCGCACGGGAGCGTCCCAAGATGTGCACTTGGGGACCCGCTCTGAAGTAATGTGACATGTAAACATGAGATGACCCCACGCGTGTTGGAAACACGGTAAAGAGGAAAAGAAAGACATCACTGTCTTATCCCCGGACGGTAGGAAAACACAGCTGATTACAGTTTGTCTAGAACACTTTCTTGATTTTCATGTCTTCTGCGAGGACATGGAGAAGCAGGGAGAGGGTCTAGAAGAGGAAGAGTCACTGGGGAGCCGGGCACACAGCACCCGGCTGTGGTCTCACAGCACCTCTGGAGGGCTTCCTGGAGGAGGCGCCTTTAAGCGCAGGTGGAGAGAGGGTCGTGGGAGGGCAGGCTGTGTGTGGAAGCCCCGCATGCGCCCAGCTTGTAGGGCGCAGTGCAGGGAGTGGCGGGGGCAGTTTGGCGCCCAGAACAGGCTCCTTATCTGTCCCTCACTCCCCGATGGTGCAGTGGGAGGGGCCTGGCATGACCAGCCACTGGGAGACATGGATTCTCTCCTGGGGCTGGCACTGCCTGGCTGGGTGGCCTTGGCAGGCCCTCGCCGTCCTCTCCGGCCTTGCCTTCCCGTCTCTAAAGCGAGAGGTTGAGTCCTTCTGGGCTCGGAGAGGGCAGAGTCTAGTTGCCCTTATGTCCCGGAGGGCCTGGCAGTGGGGGCGGGGGTAGGAGCTGCGGCCCCATCTGGGGGATGGACCCCAGGAGTCACAGACAGACACACACACACGCACAGTTGCCACAACAGCAGAAATTGGGGCCACACAGAGGGGAGTCCGAGACCCCGACTCAGGACTTTGGGGGCCTGCCCCTGTGGGTCCTTGCCCCATAAATCGCAGCCTACCCCAGACCTAACACCCATCCCGTCACCAGGGAGTAGGTGTGGCTGCCACAGGAATGCGCATGCACCATACACCTGTTCAGTGGACCTGTCCAGAGGCCCAAGAGCAGCTTGGTAAGACTCTGTGCAAACACTGCCTCCTCCAGACAGCCCTCCCTGATGGCCCTTGCTGCTCTCAGCCGTGTTGTACTTCCCTGGCCCCCCTCACACACTTGTGTCTACCTTACATTGTGGTTGTGTGAGGCCACACAGCCCTCCCTGCCTGCCAGCCCCCTTCCCCAGGCTCACGCCGCCCTCCCCTCAGCACCAGCTGAACCATCCCAAAGGCCAGCTCTGCTCTCAGCTCCCCCCACAGCCGTCCCTCGCTCCCCACACCCTCTGGGGTGTGCTGCACTGACATTCAAGGTCCCTGTTCTGTGTCCTGAGCGCCCTGTGCCCAGACAGTCCTGTCCCTGGCCTGCGCCTCACACTCACCTCCCATGGCCAGCATGTTGTCCTGGGCCCCTCTGGGTGTCAGTTCTGCTGCCCATACCCTGGCTCTTCCTTCCCTGGGCCTGGCCATTCCCCCTCTGAGGGGTGGGTCCATCTGCCTAATTGTCACCCCGTGGGGCCGGGGGCTTGTGGGGCTCAGGGCTGAGCATGTCGCTTCTCTCCTCTCCTTCCCTAGATCTGGGGGGCCAGCCCCTCTGGGGCTCCCAGCCAAGCTCTGTCCCTGGCAGAGAACTGCCATCCTCAGGCCTGACTCCCACAGGCCGTGTTCTGGAGAAAGCCTCCTCTCTTGCCCCTGTGCCCTGGCATCATCCATCCAGGCCTCTGATGGCTGCCCCACAGCCATGGCCTGCGGTCCCAGATCCCAGCAGAGCCAGCCAGGGCCATGTCCCACAGAGAGCAGGGCACAAAGAGAAGTGCAGAAGGGAGGGCTTACCTGGTGGCAGGTGAGCAACAGGGCAGTCCACACGAAGACCCCTGAGATGCCGCGGGCCAACGCGGTGGTGAGGAAGAGCCGGGAGGCGCCCTGGGAGCTGTTCCCCATGCGGTCCATCTGAGGCCCAGTGGGCACGGAGGGCATGGCAGGCACGGTGGGCATGGCCGGCAGGGGGCTGGGCTGTGGCCAGGTTGCTGACACCAGAGGGCCGCCGGCTGTTCCCAGGAGCCCTGAGACATTAGTCATCTGCAGAGGTGAGGGAGGACATGGGGAGGAGTGAGGGCAAAGGTGCACCCTGGCAGCTGGAAGCAGCCCCAGGGCCAGCAGGGGAGGAGGGAGTGGGGGCGGGGAGGGAGGGGCTCCTCCCCTAGGCCACCAGCAGGCCAGGGCTGCCCTGGGCATGCCTCACCGTCCCTTGTGCGGACTTCGAGTCTGACCGTCTTGCCCACTCCCCTGACTCCGGGTGGCCTTGGGAAGCTCCGAGCACAGGAACTCAGCTCCAAGGACAGGGCCTGGGGTGCCCTCTTTCCCCAGGGCTCGGCCACTTGGGCGCAGAATCAGCTACCAGACTCTGACGTAGGGTGGTCCCCGCCTCTGCTGCTCAGGCTTGCGGAGAACCCACATTTGAGGGGCCAGAGATGCCTGGGAAAGTGGGGAAGCCCCTGGTGCCCTGCCTGCTCTGGGTGGAGTTGGAGCGAGGGCCCAACTGGCACTGCCTACCGAGGCTGATGGGGGGATGCAGCGCAGCCCCCCTTCCCACCCCCTGGGACCTGCCCAACTGTGTGGGTGCCCAGTTCTGCTGCAGGGCCCTCCACCTCCCCAAGCCGCTCACTACCCCAGATGTTGGTTCTTTTCAGCTGCTTGCCAGCCAGCTGGGGCACCGGGCACCTCCCCCGTCCCACACTGGAGGCCTACCCAGCCTCTCCCCTTCCCTCCAGCCCACAGCTAGGACCCAGTGCCTACCTCTCAGGCAGGAAGCGCCGGCCCAGCCCTGGGAGGCCGGGCCTCCAGGGAAGCCTGGCAGGTCATTTGCGTGGCCACGTGGCCCCAGTGGCAGCCCCACGGGGGGGTGGGGGGGTGGGGCAGGGCCACTATCTGGAGGCTGTACCAGGCTTGGGGAGGGGCGGCCACCACCTCAGCCCCGGTGGCCCACCTGTGCTGCCACCTGCAGGGAGGGGCCGGGAGGAAGGGGAGGAGCAGAGGCTTGTCCCCTCCCGGAGGCTGACATTCTATCTTTGCTCAGCAGCAGGTGGCTCCCAGGTACCTGCTGGCTGCCAGGTGCCCTCACCTGCCTGCGCCAGACGGCCAGGTGGCTTCTTCCCAAGCCCCAAGTGGGCAGGTGGGGTCTCGGTGGGCTGGGCTGATGTTTGCTTAGAATTGGGTGAATTTATGTTGTGAAATTCTCAACCAGTCCCCAAGAGGTGCATTGGAAACCTTGCTGGGATTACGGGGTCGGGGGCAGAGGACAGGCTGGTCACCAGGCTCCGCAAGGGGGCCTGACTCATCTTGCCCCTGGTTCAGCCTGATGCCACAGGCCCCTCAGGGAAGAGGCTGTCCTGGCTCCATCTCTGGAGGGGGGTGTCGGGGTGGGGCCACGCTCTGGACACAAATGCATACATGCCGCCACCGTGGGCCCCAGGACGGAGTGTCTGCTCTGTGCCCTTGATGGGACCACACGTCTGTGTCCTTTGTGGCACCTAATACTTCCTGTAGCCCTGGGCCAACTGTTGGAGTGATGGATCCCCTTTTGCTCAGAGAGGGGGAATGTCCCCAGGAGTGTGGGAGGCTGCAGGCCCAGCCCTGGACACGCAGCCCCACTCCTACCCCTCCACCCACACCGTCCACCCCCTGCCCCCGAGAGCCCCCAGCAGGCCTCCTCTGAGCGCTGCTGGGACCTCCCATGCCTTTTCTCCCAGCTGTTTCCTTGTCCTGCCGGCTTAGATGTCTCCTTTAAATCCCCCCTTGTGCCGGGCCCAGCCTGTCCCCCGTGCACAGGGCGTGGGCAGCCTCTGTGTGGCCTGCCCTCTGGCCGTGGCTCTCACTCGCTCTGGCAGGGGTGGCAGGGCTGGGCTCTAACTTGTGCAGCCAAAGGCAGTTTTGCCCGTGTGTGCCCTGAGCCTGCCACCTGCCCTTGGTACCAGTGACCTGCAGGCCCACCGACCAGCGTGTGCAGAGCAGTGTTGCTGGTGGTGCACATTGTTGTTATTGTTATGGGCGATTGTGGAGGTAGAACCCATTACTGCCCATGGTGACAACGGCTTGAGGACCCGGAGGGCAAAGACTCAGCTATGGGGACATGGACAGGGCTGGCAGGGCCCAGGGAGCCCACCACCTCCACAGGTAGAGAAAGCAGGCCCAGGTCCTTCCCAGGCTGATGCCAGGATGTCTGAACATGCAGCAGGAAGCACTATGGTTAGATGTTGGAGGGACTTCCCTAGCTGGAGTCAGCGGGGACAGGCCTTTGGGAGTGTGCTGAGGGGCCCTGGCTTTGGGGAGGCGCGAGGCCTGGGGCCTAGACCTAGACGGAGGGATTTCCCAAGCTCTACCCTTTCCTCAAAGGTGGAAACACTGTGGGGAAGGGCCGTGTTCTCTGACAAGGCAGGTTGTACACCAGGGGCAGGCCCGGTGGCCTCCTCGCCCTGCAGCTCTGCCAGTGGCAAGGGGAGCTCCTTCCACCCAGGGCCACCCCTGCTGTGATGCGGGGGGGCAGGTCCAGGGTCCCCGCTGGGTTGTTCCCGCAGCTGCCCTACCCTGGAGTCTTGTTCAGCTGTTACTTCCAGGAAGGCCTCCAGGAATCCTTGAAGCCTCCCCACTCCAGGATCTTTTGCACAGGACACAGCTTTGCTCGGGGAGCTTCCAGTCAGCACCAGGCCATGTGTGCATGTTAGAGGCCTGGTTCTCTACAAAATGGGGGCCTCCTGCCCTCGCCCCACCTCCTTCTCTGGGTCCTGGTCTGTCGCACCAGAGACAATCTCAGTCCTCAATGCCTTGCTCTGCCCGTGGCCTCTGCTTTCTCGTCTGCACAGATGAGTCTGGAGTTCTCCTGCCATTCTATGGGGTACAGCAGGCAGGTCCCTGCCATCACTGGGGGCCCAGGACACCCCCCTTGCCTTGCCCTGAGCTCAGGGAAAGGCTCCCAGCCACATGGTCCTCCCAGGGCCCTGACCCTGGAGCAAGACCGCAGGCCACCTGGGTACCTGGCAGAGAGCAGCAGGAGCCCAGATTGGGGAGGCATGGGGAGACAGGGAGGGGTCAGGAGCTGGGCCGAGCACCACAAACAGCATGCTGGGGGGTTCAGCGCGGGGACAAGGAGGGCCGAGAGAGCTGCCTGTGTGGCCATCGGCCCCACCCCGGCAGCGGTGTCATGGCCCATGCACACTCAGGAGAGGTGACCGGGCTGGCCCGGCCTGATTTCCCTGCCTGGGGCTGGATGCTGACCAAGCCTGTCACAGGACAGACCTGCCTGCCCAGATCTGGGCAGCTGGGGCCTCTGACCCCTGTTTATAGTGACCAGGTGACTAGACCCGGGCAGGTCCTGGCTGGGCGGTGGGTGGCCGAGACATTGCTGGCCATTGTCAGACCCTTGTCCTCATTCCCATGCCTGCCTTTCACCACCATGACCCAATGCCTGTGGCTCCTGGCCTCATTGCTGGCCCTGGACCTCCTTCCAGACCTGTCCTGCCATGCCAGTCCCCCTTCTCAGCTGGCCTGCCATCTGAGGACATCTCTGAAGGCCTGTGGCTCCTTCCCTGCCGCCAGCCCTGTCTGGTGCTCCCTGGGCAGTCAGACACAGGGTTGCAGGGAGCATCAGGACACCATGATCTCATGGGTCAGCCCCACCAAGGTCCTCTGGCTCTCCCTAGGGGTCCCCCCTGCTGGTGCCCAGGGAGTGGCACACAGGGTTTGCCTTTGAGCTTGTTAAGGCCCCTGGAATGGCCCTGGACTCAATCAATAGCCACCGTGGCCTAGGGCCTGGGGGTGACTGGACCCGGGCCACCGTCAGCGAGGCTCCTGGGTGCTCAGGCCTTTAAGCCACTCTGATGGGACCTGGGAGAAGTAGGGGGCTGCAGTGGCGTCACAGGGCTGTGGAAGGGACCTGCCAGCCTGGGTGCCCTGAACCACTTCTCCCCTCTGGGCCCATGGGGGACTGTGGGTCCCCCCCAGCTCTACTTCTGGGATCCCTTGCGTGGAGGGCAGGCAGGGAGGTAGGGCCCTGGGTCAGACACACTGGGTTGGGACTCTGACACGCCCTTCACTGTGACCTTCCTGTTTCCGCCGCCATTGGAGCCCCGTATACAGCTGGTCAGCACCCGTCTCCCTGCCACCTGTTTCTCCTAAAGATGGCCATGGGCCACTGTAGCCCAGGACAGCTCTGCTGGGCCTCCCAGCCAGGTCACAGTCTAGCAGCCAGTCACCGTCCGTGGGCTTCTCTGGGCCTCGAGGCCACTCAGCCCTGGGGGACCCCCACGTGGGATCTCGGGAACCTTCCTCCCTTGCTCCTGGGGCTCTCCTGCCCTTTCTGCACTGTCCCCTGTGCCCTGTCCCTCCCCTAGGCCTGCTGCCTCAGTCCCCAGAGAGAAGCTGTGTGTACCTGGGGCCTGCCTGTACCTGCCTGTTGCCCCGGAGCCAGCCACCAGTCCTGGGTGTGTACCGGGGGGGGGTCACTCTTCCTTGCAGAGCTGGGGCAGGGGTGCCGGCCTGGTCCTGGACTGGCCAGGCTGGCCTGAGACCTTTGTGGTTACCAGCAGGGCCCTGTCCCCTTGGGTGGAGGGGGGTAGGGCAGAGAGGCTGGGACTCTCAGAATTTCATGGTGGGGGCTTTTTTCTCCAGGAGCCCCCACCCCACTGGAGTGAATGGGACCTTGGCCTGGACAGCACAGTCCACCCATGGGTGTGCACAGATGCACACACACATGCATGCCCGCGGCTCACCTCCCCGGTGGCTCCCTCAGCCGTCTGGTCAGGCCCCTTGGGCAGCCGTGTGGCAGGGCTCCAGGCCCGGGGGTGGGCGGCCTCCCGACCTCCAGTGCTCTTCCTCACAGCAGCCTGGGTCCGTCCAAGGTACTGCTGCTCCTGGGGAAGTGCTGTCCTTCCCCGGTACCCAGAAAACGCCTCCCTGCCACCCGCCCACCTTGCCAGGCCGGCTCTGCCAGCCTGGGTGCCGCCCAGGCCACACCCTCTGCCACAGATTCTGGGACCAGCTGTCCCTCCCACCCACTGTCCGGCGGCGGGTATGAGTGGGCCTCAGAGACTGACATCCGCTGTGGCTCTTGTCTGGGTCACTGGCCAGGTGTGGCTTTGGGGGCCACAGCTCTCCAGTCCGTGTGGACGAGATCGGAGGCCCACCTTCCAAGGTGCAGTGAGGGGTAGATGGGGTGACGCCATGTCTGAGACATGTGGAGTGCACTGTCCCTTCAGAAGTGGCTCACATGTCCCTCTGCTGCCTTCATCCCTCGGCTGCCCCGCATCAGGGAGCCAGAAGGGGTCTCAGGACAAGTAGCTCCACAGGCTTTGACGATGGCCCCCTCCCACTGTTAATGGGGCTGCAGGGTTTGGGCCCCTGGCCGGCACAGGGGTGGGGGGTGCTGTGGCCTGAATCCCGCTGGCTCCCCCTGCAGGGCCCTGAGCCTTGGTATTCCTGTCTGTGAAGTGGGTTCAGGGGTCCTCATACTCCTGGGTGGTGTGTGGGTTGAAGGAAGGTAGGAAATGGAGCTTGGTGAGTGCAGGTGCGGGCCGGTGACAGCCTGCGTGAGGGCCGCTGCTTCTGGATATCTGTTTCTCAGACTCCCCCCGCCTCATTTCTCCCAGTATCTCTCCCCCACATTCCTCCCTGCCTGGAGTGGCCCAGGCGTGGGGGGTGGGCTGCAGGGTCCTCCCCCTCCAGGCCTGCCTGCCTTCCCCAGAGATGGGGTCCTGGCCCTGAGCAGCCTCCTCCAGAGATGCGCAGCCTCTGAGAAGACGGTCAGTCGCCAGCTCTTCCATTGGGCATCCTAGTCCCTCGTCCACGTCCCGAGTCCTGATTGCGTTTCACTCCAAGGTGCTAAGGCGCCTGTGCTCCGCTGGTCCTGTGTGCAGCTGTCTTCGTCCAGTTCATTGTACCCGGTTTGAGAGGACTGGGGGCTCTGTCAAAGCCCCACTGAGCTGCTCGGGCATTGCCCAGAGCAGCCGCCCTCCCTGGCTTCTCGGGCTCGCCCTCGGCTCTGAGCCCTGTCCCCACAGCCACTGAGGGAAAGGGAGGGCGTGCGAGGGAGGGGGCCCCGGGGCCCTTGGCTTGCAGCTGGGTGGAGAACCGTGCAGGGCAGGTGGCACCGTGGTCAGACGGTGAGGCCTTGACGGAGCAGCCCCTCCAGCAGTCCAGGCTGCGGGCTGATAGCCCCTGTCCCCTGCTTTCACTGGCTGCGAATCACTGGAAGGCGTGATCACAGTTCGGTTGTTGGGTAAGCGCCGGTCCGTGTAAAGGGGTAGCCGCCTCTTGAGGGGCCCACCCGCCTGTGGGACCTGCGGCCTCACGACCGGTCTTCCTGAATCCCCGCCGGGGCGTGGAGCGCCTCTCCGCCCACCGCCGCCTGGATGTGTAAGGCAGGACAGTACCAGGCCCTGGCGTAGGTGACAGGAGCATGGACGTCGGGCCGTGATTCCTACCAGCCAGCAGACGGCTCCTGGCAGCTGCGGAGAAGGCGCCCGGGACCCTGTTCCCCGTCCACGCCAGTTCTGCACCCCCCCGCCCGGCAGGCCGCTGTGGGTCGGGCAGCCACTGCCCCGGTTCTCCGAGCCCCACGGAGCCGGGGTCCTTCACTGCCCACCTGCCTCTTCTGCAGGGTGGCCACAAGGGGTGGGAGTGTTGCACCTTCGTGCAGTCAGGCCATGAGTGGGCGGCAGTGAGGGGCCCTGTGGCCAGCTCAGGTCCCAGCCCCCCCGTGCCGGGGGCGGCTGCGTGACGCTGCCTCGGTATCCCCCTCTGGCACACATGGATGACCAGCGGAGCGATCTCCTCCGCCTGAGTGAGGACTGCTAGCATGTGTACGAACCGGGCTGTCCGCGGAGCCTGGTCACCGTGATAGGCAGGTGTGCTCGTCCCACAACAGCAAAGGCTGCAAATCTGAACCCGGACTCAGACGGGGACCCTGCCCGTGCCTCAGGTCCCCTGCTTGTTAAATGGGAGAAGTGGTAATCCCATGGCACAAACATCTAATCTTTAGATGACAAGCGTTGAGTAAGTACTGCTCTCAAGTATTAATCTGAGGATACCGCGCCTCTGCCTCCGGTGTGGGGGCGCTGCTTCTCCAGCAGGCGGCTCCTCCCCTCCCGCCGAGGTCTCGCTGGCCTGCCTCCCAGCGGTCTCCATTCCAGCCCTGACCTTACTCCCCACCCGTCCTGACAGCCCAATCCCTGGGGGTCCTCGTGGGTGCGGTTCTCCCTTCACTTCCTTGGTCGGCTCTGGTGTCCTTGGAACTTGTGCTGGTCCTGGTCCCCGAGAGGTCCATCAAGTGGCGCTCAGGGTGCAGGACTTTACTGGAGGAACGCCAGGGTGAATGCAGGTGGGGTGGGACCAGCCAGGCTGAGAATGTCTGCCCGAGGGGTCAGGCGGTGGATGGGAACCACTGGCTGGGATGGTGCGGCAAAGCTGGCCACAAAGGAGTCCTGTGCCTCTGGGGGATGGGCCTCAGTTTCCCTTGGCATCTCCAAAGCATGCAGGTCCAGCAGGGGCAGCCTGGTCACTCAAGCTCCCTGCAGCAGCAGTGGTGGCAGCACAAGGTGCCTTCCTCTCTCCTGTGTTGGCACCTCCTCCAGGAAGTCTGTCAGGATTCCCAAGTACAACTACCTGGTCACCATCAGCCAGTCTGTGGCTTGGGTGGGACAGGGCTGACAGTGACCCTGCACAGGCAGTATCTGAAGGAATGAGCCCTTGAAGAGTTCCCCTCTGTCCTACCTTCAGCAAACTCACACCCACCTCCAAACTGGACCAGCGGCTTGAATTATTTTCGTTGCCAGCTGGAGAGCAGTTTCTAGTCAAGAACCTGTCTCAGAAGCCGTCGGTTCTAAGGGAAACTGAATAAAATCTCCTCCTGATCTCATGAGGACATGGACGCCACCCAAGGTATTTCTTCACACAGATAGTTTTTTTTTTTTAAGATTTTATTTTTTAAGTCCTCTCTGTGCCCACTGTGGGGCCTGAACTCACAAGTCCCAAACCAAGAATCGCATGCTCCACTGAGCTGGCCAGGCACCCCTTTATACAAATCTCAAAAAAAAAAAAAAAAAAGAAAAAATAATCTCTATTCCCAGGGACGGCTACTCTCAGAGCACAGGGACCCCAGCTGGTCCCTGCTTCCCAGACCCCATGCCCGCATTGTCTCTGATCTTCTGTGGGGTGGACTCGATAGCACACTTAACCTCCCAGTTTCTGGTGTGGCTGGTGATGCTCCACTGTGGCTACACGGAGATGAAGATGTGCCCGGGGCGGGTTCCCAACGGTTGTCTGCCAGAGGCCTGAGCAGGCACAGGCTGCCTTGGGGTAGACGTGCCTCACAGGAACTGTCAAGCAGCAAGATGGTAAGAAATGTGTTCAGAGTGGAAGTTAACGGCTGTCTGGCAACCCAAACACGCCCAGGGATGTCAGAGGAGGAGCGAGAGGCGTGTGCAGAGTGTGTGAACCGTGTAAGGCTTTCTCCCACCTACGGTGCACCCAACGGAACCCACACCGTGGGACAGAAGCTTCTCAGCACTGTTAGGAGGGAAGGTGAAGTATTCGGGGACAGGTGTTTATTCTTAACATCAAACATTTCCTCCAACAACGGACACTGCTCATGGAGTGCCGGGATTCACACCTGAGGACTCATCTTTCAATTCTCAAATACATGCAAGGATCTGGACCCTGGTAAGAACCACCACCACCCCGGCAGGCACTCTCCGCAGCTCTCCTCCATCCGTGGATAAGTCAGCGCCCCTGAGATGTGTGCATCTCCGCTGGCTTCTAGGGCTAGAGCCAGACAGCTCCTCCTCCTGCCTGAGCCACAGACGGTCTCCAAGTGGACAGGGCGTCCAGTCTCCGCGGCTGCTGGCTCTGGGGTCACCAGACCTGGCACGCCTGGATCACCTCCTTCACAGCCTTCAGCCCCTCTGCGTTCCTGTCCTTCATGGCCAGGGCCAGCAGGACCGCTCTGTTTCCAGCTTCCTGAGACACGAAGGTCACCAGGTTTTTCGCAAAGACGTGCGTGAGAGGCTGGAGAAGGGAAGGAGAGAAACCACTTTAACGGAGACAAATCCGGTTTTCCTTAGCGCCTTCGTGGAGGATTCCCCGACTGCCTTCCTGCACCCTAATAACCACCTACCCCTCCCTGTAAGTTCAAGGCAACAGCGGTTCAGAGTTCAACGGCACTCCGGAGCTCGAATCCTGAACGACACGCTGAGCAGGCGCTGTTACACTAGCCTTCCTGCTGCGTCCTGATCCTGGGTGTCTCCTGGCTGTCTGCAACCCAGAAGGATCTGCGGAGGCTGGGCGGGGGTCCATCACATCCCATGGGCCATCTATTCAGAGCTCGGGCTCCAAGCTACCCCCACGAGGGTCAAACCCTACAAAATCCATCCGCCCACCTGCCTGCTGGACAAAACCTGCTGGGCTGGGAAACGGTGCCCCCACTGCTGCTGAGGTGGCTGCGTGGCGGGGGGGGGGGGGGGGGGGGGGGGGCTTCCACCCACTCTACCTCATCCTGCCCCAGAAGCACTCTGGTGGTGAGCACGGGCTTCCCGACGTCACTGGCAACGGCGCTGGGTTCCAGGGAGACCAGGGTGCCCATCTTCCCGAACTGGGTCACCACCACCAGGATGTGGCTGCTGAAGGCGGTGCACACCACCTGCGTGGGGACCCCGCACACCACCTCCGTCCTCTGCTTGGATGTCAGCAGGGGCCTGCCTTCCATGGCCGGGTCTCCTCAACCGCACTGTTACGGCTAGGAGAAGAGAAAAGGAGTCGATCAGACCGCGTCGGACGTGCCCCGGGTCGGCCCCGCCGGCACTGAACGGAAGCGTCCGCACGCCCAGGCTTCGGCGGGCACCTCGGGAGCCGCTGCCGGCGGCTGGGGTCGGCGTGCGGGGTCCCGGTCCCCGCGTCCCGGGCTCCCGCCCCCCTGCCCCCGCTCCCGCGGCCGCTCCGGGTCCCGCTCCCACCCGCCATGCCGCCCGCGCTCACCGCGCCGCGCCCGGAAGTGACGCCTTTGGGCGACGCGGGCCCGCCTCCGCCCTGCACCCCTCCCCCGCCGGAAGTGCGGCTGTTGGCTTCCGGTCCCGGCAGGGCCTCCTGGGCCCTCAGCGGCGGGGTTCCGCGCTCCCGGGAGGGTCGGGTGTTCCGGGCCAAGGGCTGCAGCCTCCAGCTCCGGGCCGCGGCCTCGGCCTCGGTCTCCGGCTGCTCCCCGGGGTGTTCTCGGCGGTCCTGGCGGGAGCCCTGCTTCCCTGGCTGTGGGGTCCCTCCCCGCCGTGCCGCTGTCGCCGCCGGACAGCGGGCCACGGGGCCCGGTGCGGCCGGAGGGAGCACCCCGGAGCGGGGCCGCGGGGCGACCTGCTGACCCGCCGGGGCGGGGGGGGGGGGGGCGGGGCCGAGGCCCGCGGGGGGGGCGGGGCTGGGACGGGGCAGGGCAGGGGCGGGGCGGGCTCGCGGCGAGCCCTCGGCCCCCCGCCCGGGTCCCCAGCCCTTGGGGGGCGATCTGCGGGGTTGAGCCCTCGGCCCCCCGCCCGGGTCCCCAGCCCTTGGGGGGCGATCTGCGGGGTTGAGCCCTCGGCCCCCCGCCCGGGTCCCCAGCCCTTGGGGGGCGATCTGCGGGGCGAGCCCTCGGCCCCCCGCCCGGGTCCCCAGCCCTTGGGGGCCGATCTGCGGGGCGAGCCCTCGGCCCCCCGCCCGGGTCCCCAGCCCTTGGGGGCCGATCTGCGGGGTTGAGCCCTCGGCCCCCCGCCCGGGTCCCCAGCCCTTGGGGGCCGATCTGCGGGGCTGAGCCCTCGGCCCCCCGCCCGGGTCCCCAGCCCTTGGGGGGCGATCTGCGGGGCGAGCCCTCGGCCCCCCGCCCGGGTCCCCAGCCCTTGGGGGGCGATCTGCGGGGCGAGCCCTCGGCCCCCCGCCCGGGTCCCCAGCCCTTGGGGGGCGATCTGCGGGGCGAGCCCTCGGCCCCCCGCCCGGGTCCCCAGCCCTTGGGGGGCGATCTGCGGGGCGAGCCCTCGGCCCCCCGCCCGGGTCCCCAGCCCTTGGGGGCCGATCTGCGGGGTTGAGCCCTCGGCCCCCCGCCCGGGTCCCCAGCCCTTGGGGGGCGATCTGCGGGGCGAGCCCTCGGCCCCCCGCCCGGGTCCCCAGCCCTTGGGGGGCGATCTGCGGGGCGAGCCCTCGGCCCCCCACCCGGGTCCCCAGCCCTTGGGGGGCGATCTGCGGGGTTGAGCCCTCGGCCCCCCGCCCGGGTCCCCAGCCCTTGGGGGGCGATCTGCGGGGCGAGCCCTCGGCCCCCCGCCCGGGTCCCCAGCCCTTGGGGGCCGATCTGCGGGGTTGAGCCCTCGGCCCCCCGCCCGGGTCCCCAGCCCTTGGGGGGCGATCTGCGGGGCGAGCCCTCGGCCCCCCGCCCGGGTCCCCAGCCCTTGGGGGGCGATCTGCGGGGCGAGCCCTCGGCCCCCCGCCCGGGTCCCCAGCCCTTGGGGGGCGATCTGCGGGGTTGAGCCCTGGGTCCCACTATCCCGGGGTCCCCAGCTCTCCAGGAATCCATCAGACTATCAGGCCCTTGGTGGGTGCCAGCGAAGTGCTGTGCGCAGTGGCTCCTGCAGTCTGAGCCCCGCGGGGTAGCAGCATCCTTACCCCCTCCCACCCCCACCCCGTGCTGGCTGCTCGGGCTCTTGAGAGCTTGCCCGAGGTCGTCAGGCTGGTGAGGGCTGGACGTGGGCTTCAGATGCTCGCCCTTGATTACTGGGCTTCGGGCTCTGGCACCCAGGTCCCTGGGTACAGGCCGGGGGGTGCGGTGGGGGTGGTGACCAGCATGGCCCCTGCAGCAGGATGACTTCTGCTCCCTCCTGGGACCTGAGAGCCCCTCCAACGGCTCATCCTCTCCAAGCTGGAAGTGTTGCTGGCGAGGTGGGGGAGCCTGCGCTGATCCTGCAGTAGTCTGAGCCTGCAGATGCCTCCTTAGGGGAGTCACAGCCTTGAGAACCCCGCACTGGAGACCTTGCCTCAGCCCCTGCAGGGCGCATTGCCTGCCCCTTGCCTGGTCTGCCCGCCCCACTGAGCCCCTTAGGAAGCCTTGGCCTCGCCAATCTTTGCTCCATTTTCTCGTGATCTAATGATTCCTTAGTCCGCGTCAAGTCTCATGAAGCATGCACCCTCCAAAATGATTTCTGGAGGCTTAAAATAAAAGGCATGTATACAGAACATCAAAACAGAAATAAAAATCAAAAGGAAACCTGTTTTTGACCTTTCTTGCAGTGGACTTCACAGAGAGAAAAATGATGACGTTCATGGTTTTGATACTCCAGAAGAAAGAAGGGTATCACTTTCCGAGGAGAGCGTTTTTGTTGGGTCTAAATTTAAACCCACCTCCACCCACATCCACCCAAAAGCGAATTGCCAGTGCCTTGCTTTGAGATGGGAAACCTTCCAAAGGTTCATTCACTGCTATTCACCTACCCATGCATTCTCTCCACCTAGACAAATAGATACAAATTTGACACACACACCCCTAAAAATACCTCAACTCTGAAATAAAGTTCTCCTTTTTATAAAGGATGTGGAAGTGACGTGGCTGACATGTGGGTGACACTGTTAAGCAAATCTGTAAGCGCTTGTCCGTTGGCTGTCTTTCGGTCTAGATCTTGGGCAGAGACTGCGTATGAAGGGAGGTGGGAAGTCCAGGGAGGAGCTTCCTGCCACCCAAGTGGTCATATGGGGAGGGTGCCATGCTCATTGCCTACTGTTGACTGTTCTCCAGCGCAAAGTGATCATAAATCTCTTGAATTTGCTCTACATTCAGCGAACTGGGGGTTGTGAATACCCTTGTACGTTAATTTGGAGAACCAACAAAGAATCAAACGTTGATTTGGCAGGGCCATAATTTTTTCAACGAATCGCACCACTGTGGTTTTCCCAGCTCTGTAACCAGGAGGGCGGGTTTGCCACTCCATGCAAGGGCACCATCAGTTTTCCCAGATTGATGGTGATCCTTTGATAGGCACGTCTGTCCTCGTCATCCTCTCACCAGTCTGCCTGTTGCCTGCGTGTCTGGCCCCGCCGGGCCCTCCCCAAGCTTGCCGACAGCTTCGGCCACCAGAACACCCCTCAGAATTAACAACCTTCACAGGCTTTCCGAAATCTTGGACCTTTCATGAGATTTACAACTCACTTTGCGATTGATTTGCGCCGTACACCCACAGCCTCATGGCACGGGGCCAGGACTTCCACGGTCCTGCGTGTGTGTGAGAGAGAGTGGGGGAGAAGGAGGGGCATTTAAGGGGAGCCCGATTTCCTAAACGGTTGATGCCTCAGGGAAACCTTTGGTGTCCAGATGATTCTACTGCCCTCTGCAAGCTCATGCTGCCAGCACCCAGGTATCGGAAACGTCAGCACTGGGGACCTAGAAGTGGAAGCAGTAGGACGTCAGGCTCCAGAATCTACCTCCATGGCCCTTACTAATTGTGCTGTTGGGAAGCTTTCCCTGTTGGCCTCAGCTTCTCTTAAAAATAGAGTACGCTTGTGCCGACCTCCCAGGAGTGAGTGGGGGTCCATGCACCCCGACTCCCCGGAGTTTTATGAAGTTAGCTACATGACTTTATGTATTTCCATAACTTACTCCTACATTTACATATTATTGATTACCTTTATCATTAACCACCATCCTCAGGTGAGTAAAGTCCTGCTGTCCTATGCCAGATGAGGAACGGCCTGAACGCCAGTCCATCTTGGCGACTCAGAGGCCCCTGACCTCCGTGGCCAGCCTGCAAGCTCCAGGCCTCTCAGGAGGCTCTTCGAGCTGCTGCCCTAGGGTCTGCCTGGGTGAGGATCTCAGAGACACAGCATTCTCTCCAGGTTTCGGTGAGATGTTGTAATAGGTGGAGCTGTGTTATTTGTAGAAACACTTGTCCCTCTCACATGTCCCGGCCAGTCTCCTAAGAGGACCCAGGTACACAGAGAGCTGGAGATCACATTTGCGATGAGGGCCTGAGACACGGCATCAGATAAGCAATTTTGTCCTATTTAGACAGTGAGATACTTAGGACTGGATGACAGGAGGTGTGTCCGCCTCCTTAGGGTTCTTCTAGGCATTGGTGACACACACTGTGTGAAACCATCCTTTGCCTCGAAGGAGAACAGATGGGCTCACTGGACAGCTGAGAAGTCCTGGACACTCTGGCGAGTCTTCTCCATCTCTCGCCTCTGAGATCGCTGTCCTGCCTTCCCGTAAAATCACCAGCTGCTGGGTCCATCACTTTGCTTCCCAGGATCCCCTGGGGAAAGTCCAGGATGATCTCCCTAGACCAGCCTGGTCGCCTGCCTGTCCTCAAACCAATTACTACTTGAAAACTAGTTCATGTAAAGGCAGCTGCCCCTGCACTTGAAAGTTAGCAAGCACTGGCCAGTGATATACGTGTGTCAAAGACGAAATCATAATGGAAATGAGGAAACACCCAGCATGTCCCACCTGTCTTTCCACAGATTTGCCCATTTGGACATTGCCAGCAACAGGGACTCCTACACCATGTGGCTCTCCATGACTGGCTCCTTCTGCTCCACGTCGTTTTGACGAGATTCATGCACGAACACTGGGGCTCTATTCCTTCCCGACGGACCAGTTTTTTTTTTTTTTAATTCATGAGAGACACACATAGAAAGGCAGAGACACAGGCAGAGGGAGAAGCAGGCTCCATGCAGGAAGCCCGATGCAGGACTCGATCCTGGGTCTCCAGGGTCATGCCCTGAGCCAAAGGCAGATGTTTAACCACTGAGCCACCCAGGCGTTCCACCAACAGACAAGTTCTTGATTACTCAGTAACTGGGAAGATTAAATGAGGTCACGCTGCCAAAGGGCCTGGTTCAGGGCCTGCCACATACAGGTAGGTGTACGACAAGGCTGCCTTCCTGTCACAGGTCACTGGGATCCCCTGATGGTACCAAACAGAAGGGACCTCGTGTGATCAGTGACTCCAAGATCTCTGCACTGCTGGTGTTTGGGGGAGCTGATGTCGAGGGGTAGCAATGTTAACCCATCTACCTGGCCCCTAATGTCATCATTCCCACCCCCGCCCCATTCCCCACCCCCGCCTGAGACGGGTCTGGAGGTATCCAAGCAGGCCTCAATGACGCCAAGGCCTTGAGGTCATAATTCCACAATCCTGTCCCTGGAGAAAGGCTATGGTGGTATGGAAGCTGCCGGTGCCCCGTTATGACATTTGTAGGCACGAGAAGCAGAAGCGTCAGGGGCAGTGAGGACAGGCACAACAGGCATGGCCATTTTTGCAGCCGTCTGCAGATCTTTCTCTGTGCAGCAGCCCTGCAGCTGAAGCTGGGGATGCTCTGCCCCGGGGGCCTTCCTTGCCCTTTTGTGCC